GCGAAAAGAGTCGCGAGCGAAAGCTAGTAATGCATACAATTAATTCGTCTTGCTTTAACATAACGCATTTATTATGTCTCTTTTCTCAATTAAAATCTGATATCAAAACATGTTGCATGTCAATGTTTTAGTAGTGCAAACTCACAGAAGAAAGACGTAAAAAGCTTTCGTAAGTCTGTACCGAGGGTCCTTCTTGTGTTAATGTTATTTTGTCACGACATTGGACGCAACGATAATTTACTAACGACAATATAATCAAACTAAGAGTGTTCTGTGACACTCCTTTCGAGTTATTGGATTTATTGCTTACTAGCTATAGCCCAAGACTTCGTCCGAAATTTAAAAAAATACGGTAATGTGATATTCCAGATAGTTCTTTTACATCATTACTAAATTACATCCAGAACCGTACAATCGTTGCGGTGTTACGTAGTAACAAACATCCATCCATCCAAAACTTTCGCATTTATACCAATGGTGTGATGTGACTTAAGATAATTTGATTCAAATATTATGATTTAATAAAAACAACAATTTGTAAGAAATTTAGGAGATAACCTCAAAATAAGAGTGAAAAATATTTAAACATTGCAAAATTATCACAAAATAAACTTTACCTAAAATTGCATTATTGTTACCCTTCTATTTGTTATCTCTGTTTTTTTAGAGTTCGAAAAGGATGGAAATAATAATTTTATACAACTACTTTAACAATTCCACAGTTACAATAATTTGTCTTCAATTCACAATATAAGTATGATACAGACTATGAGCGGGCGCACACCTTTGACTAAAATATCGCACAACAGTTGTGCGATTGTCGACTGTTTCGCAGCCCATTCAACAGTTCAGTTGCATAGTTACAAGTAAAGATCGAGTACTGTGCGCACCTCCATATAAATTCATAGGAATCAACGCTAGACTAAACAGTTACGATAGTTTAGTTACAGATGTGCGTGCTTTTAACGTATAATCAACAAGCACGCTGTCAATTGACCTGTCAGCCCAGTAGCCCATTTCGATAAGATTCAGAAACCCAGCAATGAATAGTAGATAACAACCAACAATTGAATTGTAGAAATGCGACCCGACAATTAAATAACACTTCGTTTAATAACACACTAATTGCTTAAAAGCCTTAACTGGATGAAAGATAAAAGAATCAGTAGACTGATATGCTAACACTTTCAATGCTTACGTGGCATTGAACGTGTTAATTCTATGAAGAAATAAACTAGGTAACTATATTTAACATAAACTAAGGATATTTTTAAATTGATATAATTTTTATTATTTAATTACCATAAAATTAAACTTTACGAGACAAGATTTCATTTTGATTACGTTATGATAAATGGATCTTGCAGACACCTAAAATAATTCACTACCACACAAAGATGTGAGAGGTTATTCCGAAAATTGTCCAGCTTCCAAGTAGACTTTCAAGATTTTGATTGGACATAAATATGTCACTATTCAACTTAATGTAACAAAAAAATAAACGTTAAATATGCATCATGAAGAACATAAAATTATGTTTAAAACAATACAGTGACATCTCCGTTAAAAAACTTCAAATCGAGCAAATTAGTCGACTATTCCCAGATCCTACGATACGGACACGCAATAAACTATATAACTCTGCCGACCGCCTATAGAATTGGTAACGTTAAAAAAACATCGTCACCTGTCGTGTCATTTGGTCCTAACAACGAGCCGCCAAAGAAAACATGGCATTAGAAAAAATAAATATAACATCGTCGAAAACTGACCGAACTAACGTCAATTCGCCTACGGAACCCTATGTCAAATAGAATACAACTCACGTCAAACAAAATTCAACCCTATACCCTAAAGATAAACATCAAATCCGATTGCATTTAAAGTCAATACAAATTTGGATAACGTTACTTAAATTTCGACTTTATAGTTTACTATCAGAGTTGATATTCCTCTGGATGGTAGAGCATTGTTTTAATTTTCTGTAAAAGACATTTTTTTTACGGTTTAATCGTTTTGACTGAGTAGAATTTACGACGTGATACTTTACTATGGGCGATATAAAACGTTGGGCCGACTTCATTAGTAGTGTTTTTGTTGCGATAGTTTTGCATTGTATGATAATGGGGTCCGTAACGTTGATGAAACCTTCCGAATTTATGGGACAAATGTTACTTTAGCGGTTTAACAATGACAGTTAATTTGGTCTAGTATTATAAATAGTTATTATAAATGTATGAAAATTTTAAAACTAATAATTATGTTCTGTATAAAGCCGAAAATGAAAAATTATTAAAATATTTGAATTTGGCTCACGAGATTACCGCCATGTGGCGTATGAAATCGACTACCATTATTCCGATAGTCGTTTCGGTACACGGGCTGATAGCGAAGAGCTTCGACCAACACCTCAAGATGCTCTCGCTAGACAGTTGGATTAAGGGCCCGATTCAAAAGGCGGTTATTTTAGAAACTGCATGAATAGTGAGGAGGTTCCTGTCTCTGCAGCCCTGACCACTGGTTGCTTGAGTCATCGGATTCCATAGCCGGTGGTGCTCTATTTTTTATATGATGTATTTTATTTTATTTTTATATCAAATCTTGTAAAATGTACTATATAAAGAATAAGAAATAAACATATATGGTGGCACATAAAATGTTCTGTATTATAATTTTGCACTGGATGTATTTTCTGTCTTTGTATATTCATTTATTATAAACGACTTCGACTGCGTGATATTAAAATATATAGGCTATATTACTTAGCGATTACGTAGCTTTTTAATGGTGAAAGAATTTTTTAAAACGGCCTTTTAGTTTTTCAATTATTTTAATACATACAAAAATACAAAGCTCTCCTCTTTATAATAATAGCATAGATTAAGCAGCATAACTTACTCCACTAATAATATTAGCCAAGAAATAAAAGGTAAATCTTATTATCATACATAAAAATTGCAAATTTGACCCTATTCAAGATAAAACAAAAATATCGCTAGCAACATTCTTAAAAGCTAAGTTATACCAAGTCTATTACTAACTATTAACGCTAACATAATAATCAAATATTCAAACATATTAAAACATTTAAATCCAAAAGCAACAAACAATAGTTTCCACCGCACTAACTTACGTAAAGCGAAATATTCTCGACTATTAAAGTTACATTAAGCGGAACAAAACCTTATTATAACGTCATTCGAATAACTAACACCATTGTCCATACAAACGCCATGCAATCTTAAATCCCATACACGCAAATAAACTACACAATAACCCATGCATAAAAGATAAGAGCTGACGTCACAGTACCTTCTAGAACATAGAAAATGAAACTAAACATTACCCTAGTAAACCCACTCAAAGCCATATATCGTGTAGTTCCTAGAAAATATAAAGTGACTTAAATTGGTTCGTCATATGAATACAGCCAGTACCAGTTTCAGCGCCTAGGAGAGTACGGCGTCCCCTTTTTAAAAACTTTAAAGGAGGGGTAAGCATGGTTACATGCGATTGTAATTCACAGACTCGTAGTGCTATTTAGTCGCCCAATGCGCCCTACCCTAATAAGGGCCTAATACTCAATGTATCAGGATATTTGGTTGATAAGTTGATATTAAAATAAAATGGCTCTAAACTCTAATAGCAAGAGTATTTGTAGTTCAGATAAAATGCGACTTCCAAAATACTTGGAGCAACTAGGACACAAGCAACAAAACATAAGAATTAAAAGGATTACATTAATCTCCTATTGCAAGTGGCAATTCCTGTACCAGATTCCGACAAGACAAATTCACGCTCCTATCTTCGTTGGTGGGCTTCACTGACAATGGATATAAGGGGATTTTCTGCGTGCAAATGCCGACAAAAGAAGATCCTTGTGGCTAACAATAACACAAAGGGATTGGTGACATCCACTTCTGTCATCTCATTATAGAAAATTGTCCGGTGGCGCTAACGTATTGTCCCTTTTGAAACTGTTAGCTAAAAGTCATTTTGCACCCATTTCAAATTTCACGGTCTGTTAGTTGGTTTTGATTAGTTTGAGAAAAAAAGGTTTAGAGTCATCGATATGAATAATTTTTACATTTAAGTAATGGTTTTATGAAAGTGTTTGAAAATGAAGACATAGCGACTTCTTTAATTACAAATATACTATTTGATATTATATGAACAAGATAATAATGTAAGAAAGCAACTACAACAAGTCTTGTATGTTTCTATCCGACTTCACCTTTGACCCAATAAATTTCAATTTATCACACATAAAGACCAAAAATAACCGAGAGATTAATTGAATATTTAAAATTGTTACGATTACTATAAAAAGAGGTTTAAAAATAGTCGTTCTATGGATTTTCTTACACTTAAATATATAGCAGAATTAAATATAAATTTTATGGTTTTATTCACGCATTATTTGATTATTTAATTAATATCGTGGAGTTTAATTTAAGATAGCATAGCAAGCTTTTTAATTACATCGTATGTTACAAAAGCGTAAAACGCTAGACATTAGCTTAACGTTGCGTCGCGGTTTTCTCGCCACCTAAGCTCATCCGAATCCCTAAAAAGCTCTCGTGGTGACACCTCCTGCCCCCCTCTCCCTCCCACATAGACCCGTCTTTCTCGCACGCCACCGCTACTCTTCGAATAACGACACAATGCGACACAAACCTACCAACAGAACATGCAGCAAGCGACTTCAAATGTACATTCAATTCTCACCTTTACCACTCCGACATAAAGGTGCTGCTCTAAATTAAGCGACACATTAGAGGACATCTATTGTACGAACATAAAAGTCATATCTACACACATGTGAGTATTTTTATGAACTTTAACGTCTAGAGAATAAAGATGAGAATACGATGGTAAAAGAAATCGATGCTGTAAAGACACAGTTTTTAAATGTCACGTAGTGTAGTCGTCTCTTTTCTCCGGAGTCCTGTCGCTGGCTCCTTGCATCCTTCAGCTTCACCCCGCGTATCTTTCATCCCGCTCGTGAGCTGAAGCCCAGTGTCCGGTCGGGCGGCATGCTAGACGGTCGTGTTACTGTATTTTACTTACATGTTACGTATATAGGGGATTGTATGTGATGTACTGTGAAGTGACGGCTAGTGACGTTTGATGTTTGTTTGTGATAATCAGAAGCATTCATGATTCAGGTTAGTAAGATTCTTATTGTAATTGTAACTTAGAATTAGACCGTCGCTTTATACATCGAACATCTAATAAAGACTACACTACTATGAAAGTGGAAAAAAACAAACGACAGTTAAAAAGTAGACTTATTTATGCGTTTTTAGAATAGAGCTGAAATTAAAACCAGTTGTAAGTTTTCTTATTGAAATTATAATAAGAAATAATATCGCTTCAATATTAGAAGTGTCCTAATCACAGCTGTATATTCAAAATCAAATATCATCACGGTTACGTAATATAAAAAGATTAGAAATAACACAACTACATATTAATATAAAAACTCATGAAAGCTTTGCAAAGCTCTTTACTATTTCATATTTATAAGTTAACTTAGTAACTTACGATTCTAACATTATTTTAAAATCTTAATGATGAAAGTTATTAAATCCGTTACTTAGATTATAATCACGATTTACAAAACACAAATAGTAATTCTACTGCTGGTACTCAATTATATTATTTTAGCTATCGACCGCGACGACGCCAAGAATTAAAAAATTATGTAGCCTATATGTTCTTACAGACTAAATTCCACCGAGATCCGATCAGCAGTTAAGGCGCCAAACTCTAAAAAATCCATTCATCTCTGAACTGTCGCATTTATAACATTAGTAAGATGTACGAAGTAAGATTAGTAGATATTTAATCAAAAGGCTGTGAAACAAACGAAAGATTATAAAAAAAACTCCGGTAACAACGCATTATAAATTAAATAAGTGTGAAATCTCTAATTTTAGGTACAATTAGGTAGCCTAGATCTATAACCTTAACCGATAATTATAGATTAACTAACTATAAATAGAAATACTTTTAAAATAGTAACAAAGAGAAGCTAATGATATTAAAAAGTTGCTTTGATTTTCTAATGTTATAAATGCGAAAGTTTAGATAGATGGATGTTTGTTAGAATTTGTAGCCTAAGCGGAACGAATATCGATGAAATTTGGCATAGACATAGAGGATACTCTGGAAGAATACATAGGCTACTCAATTTTTTTTTTAATTCAACGCTGACGAAGTCGCGTGCGATAGCTAGTAATATATAAAATGTTGTCACATCTCCGTGACAAAAACAATATCACCATTTAAAATACCACTTTTAAATTAAGTTTTGTTTTTTATTTTGCTAAGAGAAAGAATTCCAGCCAGTAATAAATTAACAAAAGTATTATTTTAAAATAGAAATCGAATGTTTTCAAACACTTCATTATAATAATTAAAAACTATATTTTATATGTTGACATTATTTATCTCTTTTATAATAGTTTGCGAATTTCTTAATAACTTTCTTGTGAAAATTTATAGCTTACTAGTTTTCGCCTGCGACTACGTCCGCGTGGTATTAAACAATAAAAGTGTAGTAGCCTATCATATGTGTTTTTCCAGACTATCTTTTACATCTATACCAAATTTGATCGAAATCCGTTCTACCTAAGGCTAGAAACTCCGACAAACATTCATCCTTCTATCCATCTATCCATCTAAACTTTCGCATTTATAACATTAGTATGATTTGTGTAACGTGTGATGGTGAGATTTCGAGGATAGGACATTCACCTGATGCTAAGTGATTTTAAATCTAAAAAGACACGTATTGTAAGTTTAGCAATCGGTTTATCTTAAAGTCTTACACTTCCTGTATTTCTCTACATCAACGGATATATCATACTTCATACTAATATAATAAATGTGGATGGCTACAAAGGAAGAGGAAGACCGAAGAAAGTATGGATGGATTGAAAGAGGATATGCTTAAGAAAGGAGTGGATTCAGATATGACGGCTGTGGAGATGTATGGAAGAGCAGCACTGTGCCGACCCTCCGTAAGGGAAAAGGGCAAGTTGATGGTACTAATATTATAAATGTGAAAGTTTAGATGGATGGATGTTTGTAGTCTAAACTGCTGAACGAATCTTAATGAAATTTGGTATAGATGTAGAGTATAGTCTGGAAGAATACATAGGCTACTTGGTTTTTTAATATCATGCGGACGGAGTCGCGGGCGAAAGCTAGTGAAAATATACATACTTAACCTTGCAAACGTCTTTTTTTTATTTTATTTCAATTTCGGTATTATAATTCTATATCAAATATTACTAAGGAGTTTTAATGACGTATTATTTACGAATTTATAGTTTTCCACTACTTTGAGCAGGCAAATTTTACCACAGTTTTTAATAATCTTTTCATTTATAAAAGCTTTTGCCCTCGACTGCGTCAGCGCGGAAATAAATAGTAATAAAGCCTGTTAATTTTAATAATGTAGCTTTTTGACTAAAAAGTTTTTTTTTAAATCGATCAGGTAATTTTAAGTTTATGAAATAGAAAAACATAAATCTTTGTAAAGAACTAGCTGTTCCCGTGCGACTTTATCCGCATAAAATTAAGAAAATTTCATTTTATTGTTTACATGTTTCAAATTATCAATTGCAAATGTCAAAATGACATGAAATGATAACAAACCGTGACAACCTTACTTCTTTGATATTGGCAGCAACTTATGGTCGCTTTCCCGCATTAGGGTTTTTATCCAAAATATTTACACCCTAAGTTTAATTGCGTGAAATATATAGCCTAAAGCGTGACGCAAGTGTAGGGCTTTTTATTAAAATAAGAACTATTCAAAAATATGCTGTAATTGCTGACATCTTAGGCAACAAAGAAGTGTGTGTTTACGCTTTATTATAATAG